CAGTATCCTCTGAAGGTCGGCGACGGACCCGCTATCCAAGTTCCACTGAAAATCAGCGACGAGTCGCGACCGTGAGAGATTCGATGGTCTACGATGAGTCCGGCGTTCAGCCTCCTTCGAAGATCAAAGCAGTGGGTTGCGGAAACAGGCTGACAAAGTCAAATCAAGTTCTACGTGATTTCCCCTTCAGAAACATCGAGGGCTCTCGAAACCACTGGGGAATGTGGGGAAAAAGCGCGTTTTGCGACAGTGTCTTATTGTTAGTGCATTTTTCGGATACGTGTCCGGAGGTAATCGATGGCGACCTCAGATACGAGATCGTTTTGCGGAAAGGATTGTGCAACGCGGCGCCGGAGCGTTGACACAGAAATCGACTTGATCTATTCTCATTTTTATACTATGTTATGTAGTACTGTCGCAACGGATGCGACTAACTCAATAAATTATGGTGAGTAAAAAAGGTTATGTTTACATTCTTTAGAAATTTCTTTCCTCACCGGCACCCTGGGAAATCCTGGTTCTCAAAACATAATTTCTCGGGAGGCTGAAAATATGTTTTCATTCCTGAGTTGCAGGGCTCAATAGTCACGTCCACCGCTGTATATAAGCTTCACAATATCTCTTATGGGGATTCTTGGGGTTTTCCACCAGTACTTCTTCCACGGCTCCATCGTCAGATCGGTCCCGGTAGGCCGAGAACGTCGTCCAGCGCATCTTCGTTATTCACTGATCCTACCACGGATAAGCCTCGAGCCTACGCTCAAGAGAGGCTTCGTCACCACCAGGCGAGTGGTCTTATTTTCTACTGTTCTGGTCCGACAAGCTTTCATTCGCCAATATTCAGGAACTCTTTAATAGTGGAGTTTTCACCATTACTAGCGGATTCGACAGCAAGAAGCGGAAGAATTGGTAGCCGATATTCTGGTGTTTCTGTATTGCAATAAACCTATATTCATTCCGGTCGTCTTTGATCAAGAATATTCCGCGTGGCCAGTGTACCTACACTGAAGGCGAGCATAGTTACCACAGATACGAGATCGTTTTGCGGAAAGGATTGTGCAACGCGGCGCCGGAGCGTTGACACAGAAATCGACTTGATCTATCCTCATTTTTGTACTATGTTATGTAGTAGTTTATGTTTCATTTATTTCAGGGCAGATTAATGATTTGCGCTTTTTCTCATGTCGAAGTTTATGTTGACATTTATGCGCTTATCGGCTTCAGGAGCTGCGCAGGGGCGCACATAAGACGGTCGGGAGAGCTGAGGGGCTGCTGAGCCTGAGTGGTTCGGTCGATTACAAGTGTCGTCAGTAAAAATTGGTTTTGAAGCCCGCGTGGCACAAAGCAACTCTACCAAAGAACTCGCCGCACAGCGTATCACGAACATTTTCTGGCTAGATAATCTTCTGGTGGGGAGAAAAATTAGTACTGATGCTGCGGACAGTTTTCGCCTCTTTGG